AAAGTCAGAGACTATAGATTTCACAGATCTCAAGTCGAGGATGGCGTCGACTTGCACCTATTGAACATTGAGTGGTGGAGGAGGGGTGTGTGCGCTGGAACTGCCATCAAGGGGCTCAAAGGCTGCAACGGGATATGTCTGGATACCGATCTGCAGAATCACGGCACCAACATCCCTTCCGAGACCTATTGGACAACCCGCCCCCAAGCCGGAAAGGGTAGGCGTGAAACCGCCTGAAAACAAGGAGCCACACTGACCCTCCCTCCCAAAAACCTACTACACAGGAGAAGCGTTTGTGATGCTGGTCCGAGCGGAGCCGAATACCCTCATTGACCTGCGCGACGACGTTTTAACGACTTCAGAGTGTGAGACTTACTAAAGAGACGTTAAGAGGTTACTTTTACGGACTATGGGGCGCAGCCTAATGGCATACGAGCAAAGGATTGAGTGTGACTTGCAAGGAACCTGCCTGGAGCTGCTAGTTGACGGAGCCACTGATGTTGCAACCGCGTTGCTGGTAGTATAATAATACCGCGGTACCAAAACAGCAGCTATGTCGGATGGCGTATCAGGAAATTAGTCTTGAACGCCTTCACAGTGATGCTATCGCGCAAAGCAGCATGCGGAGGGTGCCACTGGACGTCGGCTACCTCAACGGGGCCCCTCAAGAATCAAAGCAAAATGAGTGCTCAGGGGCTCTACCCACTCCAGAATTAATGGCTCTCGCATGTAGCATAATGCCCAGGGACATTTATGGAACGCAATGACACCTGGACTCAGCAGCCTTTGAGTGGATGCATACAGCGCGAATCACAATTCAAGACCCTCTAAAAAGTGCCCGGCGGCAAGGTATGAGACCGGCCGTTGCTGACTCTCTTACTTGCGCAATCAGTGCAAATTGCGTGCTGTCTGCATGATGCACACGATCCTATGGTGCACAGGGCACTGTTGGAGATCTGGAGTGGCGTAAGAATATCCGCAAAAGGGCTTGGCTGCGACGACTGGCTGCTGGCTGACGGGCAGGCATCAACTGGCAAAAAAGCTATGCAGCCTTGCACTCAACTGAGTCTGCAAGAACAGGCAGGCTTGAAATGAGAGTTTCCAGAAATGCGGGTACCCTTAAGAAGACTCCTGAATTGTGTAGGATCGTGATGCCTTACAGCCACCAAGCTCTGCGCCCTGGTGCACTGTGTGGGGATACTTGTGGCCCATGACGGCGGGGATGCGAGTGCTGTATCTCTGAAATTGGGATGCTCAGGCTGAACGCTGCCGTTCCACCTACTTCCAGCCGGACGTCCCGAGGTTTCTGATGCGGACATCCCTGAACAACGCGCTGCATCTTCAGGAAGCAGAGACCCCAGCATGCTACAGTGGACATGGGACAGTTCCCTCGGCACTGCCCGTCCGCCCGCCATCGAGCTTGCGATTCCCGTTGTCACAGCTGCACCCTCAATCAAACCGTTTTCTGAAGACCAAGTCTGCACACCACTTGGTTGTGCAGCCGAGACCTAGCTGATCTCTAGAAACCCAATAGCGGCAGCATTTGCACCGGCATCTGTACGAAAGGAGCAGACTTGTGCGCGGATCCAGGCCGCCCCCGCACAACTTCTCCTAAACACCCAGAGAGCTCTAGTGAAACCTCCCTATGAAATCCCGCCGGACCCGAGAGACTGATACTAACGCATGCGGCCCGCTATGAAACGGCACTTCGGACTGCACACGCTAGCATAGTCACCACACGTTGCCCCTCCAGAAAGTGCGGTATTCCATGGTCTAGGCAGCTGGAATTGGCCATTTCATGGGGCCTTGCGTGCAAGCGCCTTTATATTGACACCTAAATCAGGACGTGGTGGAAGCCCCAACTAGCGGCATCGGTGTTTTTATTATGTACTGTCTCCCCAGATGCGGACAAGCTCTTGGAGATCTGCCGTGGTGTGGGGAAGTCCGCACTCGGCCTTCTTCGATGAACTCAGAGTTCAGCTCAATACCAGCCCTGACCCACACCCTGCAAAAAACTCGGACCGGCAAAACGATTCCAAATAGTCTACCTTAAGGACGGCCTAAGGGGGGCCCCTCGGGAATCAGAACAAAATGGTTCCTGACCACTCCAGAATCAATGGCTCCTGGATGCAGCAGAATGTCCACGATGATTTATGGAACGCAATGACACCTGGACTCAGCAGCCTTTGAGTGGATGCATACAGCGCGAATCACAAGTCAAGACCCTCTTTCAAGTGCCCGGCGGCAAGGTATGAGGCCGGCCGTTGCCGACTTTCTTACTTGCGCAACTAGTGCAAATTGCGTGCTGTCTGCATGATGCACACGATCCTATGGTGCACAGGGCACTGTTGGAGATCTGGAGTGGCGTAAGAATATCCGCAAAAGGGCTTGGCGGCGACCACTCGCTGCTCGCTTGCGGGTACGAATCAGCTGGCAAGAGGTCGACATCTCAGGGGCTTAATCGGTGAGCTCTAGCATAGTGCTAACGCAGGCAAACGTACACTGCGCTAATGGATAGGTATGCAGCCTAGCAATCATCGGAGTCCATTAGCACTTGGCATGCTCTGTGGCTTGTTTATGTGTGACTGCTCACAGGGGCTTTGGAACTATTGCAAAAATCTCAGGAACTATCGGCACAGTCTCGGGAACTATATGCAGCAGTGTCCCGGAATAGTCGGAAACCGTTCCGAACCGCCAGAACTGTTTCGATGCGTCCTGGCACACTTCAAAACCCGAACACGCCATAGAGATCCTGAGATCCGAATTAAGGTTCTGATGGCCACTGCAGGCAGGACACAAATCTCATTCTAAACAAACCAGAAGCTACTCTACATTGGCAAAGACCGGTTTGAAATATTGGAATAGGTTGACGACAGCCGTGACAGATGCGGGCAACATGTTTGAGATCCGGAGTGGTGTGAGGGTGTGTGAGGAAGCCCACATGTGGGCTGGTTCGATGAACTGGCTTTCAGCTTAAGACCACTCCCCCCGACCCGCACCCAACGAACGACTCGGATTGGCAAAATAATTCCCGAAAACTTATTGCTCGCTAGCTGCATAGCTGTCAGGACACGGTCGAGAAGGAGGTGGAACTGGAAGTCGGGAGAGCGAGTCCAAGAGCCGCCCCACAATCCTTTTCACTAACTGTGCTGGCTCCGTGCCAGAAGAGCATATTCTCCCAGGCAACCTCTGCCACTGTGCAGTCGAAATCCAGAACGCTGAGTTGGTGTGGAATCTGGGAGGGATTTGAGCTGAACCTTGGACGGGTAGAGGCAGTCTACCGTGGAGTCCAAAACGGATGCCGTGGAGATGTGATCCGCAGACGCGTCTGTCTGCCCTGGCGTACACGATTGTGCAGGGTCACCCCACCTTTTGGGAAGGATGCCCGCGGAGGATTTCTGAAACATGATTCTGCGGGGTCACCCCACAACATTGCTTATGGATGCCCTCATGCGACATTGGCAAGGCGCTGCGGGACATGGACGGTGGCTTGTGGCTTGAAGCCGGAGAATCCAGTGGCCAAGCTTTTGTTGGAGCAGCTGCGTCTGCCAGGATGCCAGGATCTGCCATGGCACAGCCCGAGCAGGCCGTGGCCTCCAGCGCCGACATCTTCTTGGACGGCTTTCCATTACGACTCCTCTCCCAAGCACTGCTACCGGAAAACAATCCAGTGGTTGCCTTCTAGCCTCTCTAGCCCATCGCTGCAGTAAAACAAGCTGATACATGCTGAATGAGCTGTATTCGTGTTCTGCATGGCACTTGAGCCACGACAGGTTCAGGGTTTGAACGGATTTTTATCATCGGCCCTATTCCCCTCCGCTCGTATCAGGGCTTGGTGCTTCGATGTGTGATTTCTGAAACTTTCGAGCGGCGTTGGGCCTTTCTGCGCTGTGTAAGCATGTCATTGCATCTTGGGGTCCTGGGTGGAACAGGGAATCCCGCAAAGTGATGGATCACTCCGGCTCTTATTTCGATCCGATCTTGGCCAAGATGCGAGGGGCTGAGGGTGGGGTCTCTGGGGTTGAAGCTAAATCCATGTTATATGATTGTCAGCTTTCTTTGTTGCGTGCCAGTGATTTGGATGTGATTTCATGTTTCCCTGTTTTGCCTTTCAACGCTTCCTCAGTTCTACACTGTTATCTTGCATATCTTGGATCTGTTTTCTATCTCCTGTTGTTCTATGCTTGCTTGGCTTTTTCCAAGAATGTGTTTTGGCTTTCCAGCGTAATTATGTGAAAGGTTGGCGACATTTTTTGCTTTGGCCGATTCTCCTTCGTGATGGGAGATGCTTTAATTTGACTACTTTGGGCCTTGATCTTGTAAAATTGTTTGGAAGTTACGCTGTGTGATCTCCTAGTGCGTGGGTTCTTGAGTTCAGAGTGTCCGGACAGGGCCGCGCTCGCCGCGTTCACAGGGGCTGTTTGGCGTGGTCTCGAAATCCCGCCGTTGCAAGCGGTTTTGGAAGTTTCCAAAATCAGTCGGTAATCGTGCTCCCGCCCAAGTGCCGTGTGTGCCGCCACGAGCCTCTCGTGTTTCCGCCTCCACAAACCGCCCTCCCGCCACAGTTCCATGCTCTTCCGGCTCCCCGAAGCCGTGCTGTGCCTTGTCCGCAGCGTGGGCGCATCTTAGACTCATGGGTTGGCCCCTGAGCTTGAATGCCGATTGCTCGTAGGCTTGGACTGCTAGCTGCTAGCTTTTGTACCGTTTGGGGTCTATGCTTGCAGAATTCCCTGATGCTTCCTAATCAACTTCCGCTCAATCTCCAAGAACACACCACATCTAACCAAGCATCTTCACCAAATGAATCAAGACATTTTCTCCACCCGAGCGGGTAAATGGAGCGATCCACGCGGCAGATCCTCAATCCTGAACCCTGCTAACCCTACCCTACCTGAACCCTGAACGTATACACTTCGCTAAGCTCTATCAGATCACCTGAAGCCGTAAACATATTTCGTTTCAGGAGGAGCTGCAAGTGCACAGGCCCTACAATGCCCGCCTCACCTACTGCAAGACACATCTTTTGACAAGGTCGGACTTTGGTCCCAGGGTGGCATGTCGACGCCATCATCCACCGTCCACGTGTCGATTGCGAAGGCGCTCACCCTTCAGGGTTCGGAGCTCAGGAGTTCTTATGATCGCTTCTTTTCTCTCCGCCTAGGGCGCCAGGGCTGCTGGATGAGATGCTTCTGTGATCTTGTGATAGACTGTCGTTTATGCTTCCCGCGGTTGGTCAAGTGTTCTTGCGTATGCATCGCCCCCGATTCTTTTAACTGCATCCTGTATCCTCCTGTGCGTGTGTGTGTGTACATATGTACATGTATATATGTACATATGTATATATGTACATATGTGAGTGTAGTTGTGTATAGATATGTACACGCACATATTGACGGATAACCCGGTCTTGTTCCATGTCATGACCTGTAAAATCGTCACGAACCGCTACATATTCACACTTTATAACGATAGAGCATGTGACTGACTTCATATTTGCAAAAGACGTGCCAGCCAGGAACCCTGACACAACATCTTGCAACGAAGACTGATAGGAGGAAGTCAAGCAGCACACCGATTGCCGTCAAATATTATGCAATGTCTCTCTGGGCCGGAAATTTCTGCTAGCTTGCAAGAACCCCCCATTCCTTTACCTGCACGTGTACCTTTCATGAACCTGAGAATCCAGAGCTCTGAAATCTGGGCTCTCCCAGCCCACAGCCAAGAGGCATATCTTTGGGTGTCACCTCCCACATAGCCTCGCGGAGGTCCTGAACAATCTTTTGTCATTTGCATGCGACTCTCTCTCTCTCTCTCTCTTTCGTTCGCCAAGGCTATGGTGTAGGGGTTTTACCCTCTCACTCTCTCTCTCTCTCTCTCTACCTCTCGGTAAGCAGACTTTGGAATCCCGCTACTAATGTTACAAGGCCCGTCTTCGTCTGCCTACATACCTGGGCGCGGCATGGGCATCCCAAGCGATGTTGGTGCCCCTCCCCTCTACCCATTCGCAACCCTAAATCGCAAACCTCGAACCCTCCGCCTAATTCATGCCACAGCTCCGTCGGCAGTGCTGCTCTGGCACTCTGCGGGGCACCCTCCGAGTCGCAGAATGCCAAGCCTATGAACTGCGAGCTTGGTATAGGGGCAAGATACTTTTTGAAGCAAGTATGCCTGCCCCAAGATCTTCAAGATTTGAGGATATGGGAGTTTCCGAAAATAGGTGACCTTAATGTAGCACCCTAAATTATAGGATCCTTATTACAAGGACCCCAAGCTACCATATCACTGCCGCTAAGACGATGCAAAGAGTCAGAGTGCTCCGAGGCCGGCGCTGAAACGATGCAAGAAGTTGCGCTTGCACCAACGCGCGTCCGCGTCGTAGACAAGCTCCACCTTAGTCTTTCGGCTATCAGCGTCGAGACCCAGGGTTTGTAGCAGATTTTTGCTGCTGGGGTTCTGGAAAAATAGCACAAGCAGCTGCAATAAGCCTTGGACTTGGACCCCTCCTGCTGGCCTTCTAGCTGGTTGAAACTGACGACAAAGCTTGCAAGCAGCCGAAGTGTTTTGCATAGGATTCGTAGAAGTAGAGATGCAGTGCTCAACTTAGCATCCGAAGAGCTCAACCGAAACAAATGTTACCCAAAACCTGTCTCAAGCTCGTAACTACGACCGGGCTCGCAAGAGAAGCCAAGTCGCTGTGTAGCGACGATCCGTCACCTTCAACTTGCTTGCAAGTTTGGTCAACGCTTGGCGGACTCGTTAGGACGATGATACTGATGTCCATGACGTGATGATGACAGCGGTTGCGATGGTAGTGAGTGATGACAATCAGGGTGAGCAACATGAAAACGATGATGGGACGTGACTAAGAACCAGGAACCCTTTGGGTTACAGAAAGGGAAACCAGGTAGGCCCCCGCATTCGTGTTTCAAGTGTCATAAAGCCTGTCTTGTCTACTCTCATCCTTGCATACCTGCCGGTATGATTACAGAAACACTGTTTTAAAACATCCGCTTTGTTTTAAAGCAGTCCTGTCTTCCTGCCGGACATACGACCATCGAGGCACAATAGTAATCTCCACAAACCAAAAGAACCAAAAGAACTAAAAAAACTAAAAAAACCAAAAAAAACAAACAAACCAAAAAAACCAAAAACCAAAAAAACCAAAAATCTGGGGGACTAGTCTCCTGGAGAATTGTTTTTTTTGGTTTTTGGTTTTTGTTGGTGTTTTTTGGTTTTTTTTGTTTTTTTTGTTTTTTTTGGTTTTTTTGGTTTCTGCTGCAGGTACCGCGCTCAGTGTTGCCAGTGCCGCCTTACTCCTTGGCCGCACATATTCCGGGTTACTTTTCTTTGTCTGTGCGTGTGAAAGCCAACACATGCAGCGTGAAACACACTGTATCGTACTCTATGTGTGTATGCGTGCCTGGTACACTCCCAGAAATCGGTTGGACACCACGCCGTGCTGTCGAGTAAGCTCGCACTGGTACACGGCTGTACAAATGTATTCCTGCATAACGCTGGAACGTTGGAAAGAGAAAAAAGGCTTCTGGTGCCGATGATGCCTGCCTGCAGCCTGCGACCCTGGTGCTCATGATGTTTGACTGTGATCCGTCATTTCCATGTCAAACTCGCCGTATTGAATTGCTCGCAAAGTTGCTTTCTCGAAGTCTGCAGTTCTCGTGTAGTTAGCTTTCCCTCTAGTCCTCGCCATGGCCGGTGAAGATCTTTCTTTCGACGATCTCCAGAAGACCGTTGAACCATTGGTGTGTAAGAATCTGACTACACCTGCCATCCTGAAGTTGCCCCTCGGCTTGTTCACCCCGGCTGCACTACCGTTGCAGGAAATGTCGTCCACGGACAACCCTAGCGTCAACCTCTTTGACATCATCACAGACTACCGGGGGACTATTGATGTCAACGATCTGACGAAGGCATACAAAACCGCTGTCTTGAACTCCGATTTGTCTTCGCTACCGGAGCCCTTTGGGTTTCGCGGTATTCTTGCTCGCAACACCAAGCTTCAGTTGTTCGTGTGCGAGTGTCCAGATGGCTCCAACATTATCGTCAAGCATTTCACGTGTCCGGACAAGTGCAAGCCCTCTGTCTTCTTGGCAGGAGCAAGTGGCAAGGCTTACATCTACCGTTGGCGAGCCACCCATGCCAAGGTCGGAAAGAAAATCCTTCAGTATACTTTGGAAAGCCTTGGCGGTCAGCAGTTCAAAATGTTCGAGATGCAATCCTTCTGCGCCCCCAAAGCCTCCACCAACAGATTCGAGGATAAGACGGATGAAGAAATCGATGCCGGTTTCGACTTCATTGTCCATGATGCACCGCGCTCCTCTTCAGAAATGCAGCAGCTTCGGTGGATGACAAAAACCCTCAAAAATCCACAATCGCCTATCTTCAACTGGCCCGGTGCACTTGTTGAGAAGGCGCTCCGGAACCTGAGCCAAGATGGCTCACTCGCCAAGAAGGAGATGGACTGGCCCATCCCCCTTACGTCCACCTATTACCATGGATGGGTCTTGGAGCTTCTGGAGAAGGTGTGGGATTTCGACACGTCCGCCCTCGTGATGTTGGGTGAGGCGGGTGCGGGCAAGTCACCACTGGGTCGCAGCATCTTGATGGCACAGGCCCGGTTTAACAAGGCGCACTTTGGTGCCCGCACCACCGTGTGCATTCGCTGTACGCCTGAAATTGATTTTCTCAGAGGAGAGCAAGGTAATATCACAATGGGTGACTTTCTGGATGACACATGTCTCAGCATCCTCTCTTCCAAAATGCTGAAGTCTCTGTTGGACGTGGGGCTCTACGAGGCCATGGCATGGGCTCGTTGGGGAGCTGTCAAGTGGGTACAGAATCAGCCACGAGCGGTGGCCGACAATACCTACGAGCCCATGGAACTTCCCGACGAATTCGATTTCGTCTCATCCATCTCTTTCGACAAGTTCGCGAAGTGTATCCGTCCAGCCTTCAATTCCGAAGTTTCGAAGGCACATATGGACGCTATCTTCAAGCGCACTGTCTTCCTGGTGAACAGTCCCACACATGTCTACTTCCGCAAGGCCGGCATCAACGAGGATCCTGTCCCCCGTGTAAACATAGAGCGCCCTGAATATCTCACCGAAAAGGGGCGCACCCTCTACGGCACCTTCAAGGACGGCACCCGGGCCTTCCCCCCCGACCATGCCGCACAGGTTCGTCGTGAACAAGACTGGGTGACCAAGGTTATGGAGAAGCGCTTCGATGAGAGGCGTCCCGACTACAAAGCTCGACAGGCCATCCGTCGTGGTCTCTGGGGTCCAGAACCTGCATCATCCCGCTCCCGGCCCATCTATCGTCAGGTTGATGATCTTCACAAGTCATCTACAAGGGATGCGGTCGCCGCTGCCCCCATCATCAAACGCGAGCGGGTGGAGCAAGAGGAAGCCAGCAAGAAGGCAAAGATTTGGGCCTTGGAGTTGAAAGCTTCCAACAGCGCCATCGATCTCGACTCCCCCGACCGCACGAAGGCAGCTCTCCCGTCTACCGCCGTGCCCAACCCCGAGAACATGATCAGTGACGACATGGATGTTGTCACTGAGGATGAGGCGGATGTCCTGGGCAATGGCTTCGACCTCGGTGAGCACGACAACTGAGCTTTGCTGAGGTATCGCGTAGTTTTGTCACTGCCGTCATGCTATGCCCTGGCCCTCTCTTCAAAAGAAGACCCTCTAGAATAAATCGGTAATGCTCATGATGGCAAAACATTGCTCCGTAGCCGCGTAGTCGCACATGATGGGGGCCCGACAAATTTTGGTAGACCGCATCCTCAGTCAGACCCTGCTTCCTGCGTGCGTGCACATAGGGCAAAAGGACGTCCTTGTCTGCATGTCTGCTGTCTCGCTCGTGCCTGGCCTCATCAAATGTTGCATATACAGCCGTGTCCAAACATCGCGTGTTGTAGTCGAACTAGCCGCCCGCTGTACTTCTTGCTTCAGCCATGGTGAAGGTCGCACGTGCTTTTCCTCGCCGCACGTGTCCTAGTTGCTCTGGGTCACTCGTCAAGACCATCACGGGCCCTCGCGACGTCAGCAAGGGCGTCCTCATCGGGAGTGAATCTTTATCCAAGACGAGCACTCGTGTCAGTCGTTGTGTCCGAAAGGGCTGTCGGGTTTACGTTCGTCACAACTACATGCGGATCGCCGGAGAAAAGATCAACGTTCTCTCCTTCAATCAAATGAAAGCAGCTGGTGTGTATTTCGTGACCACCAAGACAGCATTCACCATGTCCTACCTCGAACTTTGCTATCTTCGTCTTCTTCGCGCGAAAACATCCCCAGGACAGGAGGCTGCGGTCCGAGTTCTTCTTCATCAAGGACATGACGATCTTCCAGATCATCGAACCTTCCGTGATTGCCTTTTGCGTGCTCTCGAGGCTTATGCTGTGGCGAAGCGAACACCTGACCAGGTTGTCTCCTTCAACGTCGACTATCCGGCCAAGGAGGTAGTCCGACTTAGCCGCAGTCAGCCTTTGCTTTTCCATCCCATGAACGGCGTGCGAGAGGTGGCCATGGATGGGAATTTCGGCTTGCATCGTCATCTTCTTCCAGGTGTCGACCCTCCCCGGACCAAGCAATTGCCAGGACGACCACGGAAAGCTCTTCGTGAGGATGAGCGATCGTGTAGCTGTGCCAGAAAAGATTCTCTCCACTTGGCACTGCCACAGCGGACTGCGGGATGGCAGTTCGCAGTGGACCCTTCGTCCAGAAAGGTCTTGGCGGCTTTGGAGCACAAAGCCAGTGAGTCTCATGGAGACAAGGTTCGCTTGTTGCATGGACTTTTTGCAGATCCGCAATGTGTTCCTGACGTCCTGATCCATGACGACGCGTGTCACTTGGAGGCCTATGTCCGGAAGCATCATCCTGACAGTTTCCCTAGTGTCAAACACTTCATAGTGGATGCCTTTCACCGCCGCAACCACAAATGCAGCAAGCGGGAATTGACCGTGTCGCAGAAGCGACGCTGCAACAGGGTCCGGACAAACATGTCCGAAAGCTTCAATGCTTGGATCCGCGCCCTGAATTTTTTCGTCAATTCGCTTCGGCCCCACAGCCATGCATTCTGGATTGAGGAAGCCTGCCTGTTTTATAACACGAATCTTGCTCCTCTGCCCACATTCGTAGCACGACCGCGGGGACGCCGCAATGTCAAGGCTCGCATGATGAAGAAGCCTGCCGCCATTCGCAAGCGGCCAAGCAGCCGTAGGTAGGAGCTACCGTGTTTGGAACGCCGGCAAGACTGCCAAATTTTGATGTTCTGGACTGCTGCGAGAACCCCGAGAGAGCTCATGATGCGATCACGCGGAAAACCACGGTGTGTGCGTGCATGCCCTACATGCTAGCATGTGTATCATGAAGTCTGCACGGTTACGTACCTTTGAACATGTACCTTTCCACGTGTGCACTTCTACAGCTCAAGTGTTTCAGTACTGAGTAGTCTGCTTGCTCCTATGGCCTCGCTCCCGGTCGTTGGACATGTGCGTTCGGCTGGTCGTGGTAAGGTGCTGCTAGAACTGCAGCCAGTGCAGGAGCCTTCCACCAGCTCCTCTACCCAGACGAAGCCACCGAATGCTAAGCAGCTGCTCCGTGATATTCAAAGTAAAGTACAGTTTGTGGATCCCTCCAGAGAGAATCTCACAACGCGAGCCCTGCAGATGCAGATTAGCAACATACAGCGACAGCTCCGTCTTGAGACTTCCGCTACGGGTGGATGGTCTGCAAAAGCTACGGTGTTGTTAAACAACTGGTTGGCCAAGCCATGTCGTAGCAGAGCTGCAAGTACACTCGCCATCGCAGACACCAGCGTGAAAGCAGATGAAACCCCAAAGAGTTCGGCTCCGCGATCGCGTTCCTCATCGTCATCATCATCAACCTCTCCTGAGCCGGTCAAAGTCCAGCACAGGCGTAAGCGTGCACGCACGAGGTCTCCTGTTGCGCTGCTTGAACATATCGTAGAACTAGAGGCTGTCATAGGCCGAGCTCAGGACGTAGAAGAGCAGAATGCTTTGCTCAGCCATGAAGTAGACCGCCTCAAAGGCATTCTTGAATCACGAGGTCTAGGGCACCTGGTGTAGTAGCATGTCAACTTCTCTGCGTTTGTTTCACCAAGGGAGCGAAGGGGAGCGAGTTCCATGTCACTTGAAACAGCCAAGAGGGGGCCTACTAAAGGCTAAGTTCGTTGAAGTTCCTGCCTTCAAGGGCTCAACAAGTTGAAAGCGGGAACCTTGCACTTGGGCTCTGATGTCGAGGTCCAGTCGGGCAAGCTATTTCCGGAGCGGACGGCGCACATACCCTTGCTATGGGCCTCTGCGTGTGAAAACTCTCAAAAAACATAGTTCCAATGTCCCAACTCGGAAATTCTGAGCTGAAGAGGTGATTGGTGTTGGCCTGCTGTCGGTTCAGTCTTCTATGTGAAGATTCTTGCTGTCGTTGCCCTTGCACCTGTTTCATCACCATCATCACCGCCATGATTGTCGCGGAACGAAGCTATCGCAGAGATGGCAAGCTGTGTTGCTCGCATTCTGGCCGTCTGCGTCATCGTCATCATCACCCTAACCGTGCCTTTGCAACGCGGCAAGGCTTGAAGAAGATTTCGGGAAGCTGCAGCCAAGATGCTGTGGGATGGCCGGTGTAGGCAGACTGCACTCGGATCCTTTGCTCGCGCCACAAAGTTCGAAGAGTGATGATTTAGATGATCTTCAATTGTAACAGGAACCGCTTCGGTTCTCAATTTGTGTAAAAGGTCGCAAAACCAGAGTCTATTGCCAAGTGAATCGCTGAGGTTCGTTCTTATGTTTGGGGCTGGGGCAGGCTTGATTGAATCCGTGTCTGGGCGCTGGTGCCGCCGCCCGGAGTCAATCCGCATCGCTACGATGGTCAGCGGCCTTAGCAAGCTGCCCTCCAGAAACGCTGAACCCATATCAATCCTTCACGCTTCGTTGACTGCCTGTCTAACGTTGTTGTTGCTGCTGCTGTTACAGCGGTGGTAGATCTCTCAGCACCGTGTGGTAGGTGGTGCGAGGGTTCCGTGTTGCGCTGATGAAGCCTAAGTCTCAGTGTGCACTGCGCACACTATCTGCGTATGGTTCACATGTGCTGCATATTTTCGGGCGGGCTTTGGAGCTGTCATTACTAACTGTGCTTGTATTGCAGCCAGCTTCCTGGTGGTATCAGTGACGGTGGAAGCCCCGATGAGATCCAATGAGTCACAGAAGGATAGCAGGTCTCACATTGCAGCACTGCCTGGCACGCAGTTTCAGCACCAACGCAGGTGAATATGATGCTGCTTGGAAGTGTGCATGACACGCCATCCAATAAAACTGTCGCTGGTACATGCAAGCAGCCGGTGCTGCTGTGCGAAAACATAGCCGCCCACGCGCCTGGGCACGCACACACACACACACACACACACACACACACTCTTACACTTATCAACCCGAACCCCTACAACACTTTACAGCACCGCCGATTCACCCCATGGTGATGACAATCATGAGCAACATCGCTGCTTCGTCGGCTTCAACAACAGTCTTTCCCGCCCCGACACGGCCGTGCGACAGCGAACACACAGGGATTCGAGATGTCGGGGTTTCGATTCTGGAACCAGGACGAGGATTGCACCTTACCGTCTTGGGCCTGCAAAGCTCAAAACTGCATGCGACACGGGCCTGCATGCAATCTCGTGATAGCACTTCGAAAATCTCAACTCTTGGACCGCCGAGCTCGCAGGCTGAAAACGCAAAGGTCTGTATTCAGCTTCATGCGGTGACCACGGATGGCTGCAGTAGCAAACCAAGAGGCAATCGTGTGGAGGAGGCTTTGCCTCTGCTCGGAGCTCAGCACCACGACTTTTAGGCTTTAACAGAGTCTGAGGGTCCAGAGTCTATGCTGCTGACAGGCAATGAGGGTTTGGACTTCTAGGGTCCGGAAATTCTACGTATTATCGCTTCCGACAACCTCTTTCTCCCCGTACGTTGAATCCCAGCCCAGACAGCGGTTCTAGCGGTTCTCCGGCTTCGAATCCGCTGCCAAATCTATACAGGCCTTTCAGGTTACGAAAACGCAACTTGAATCTCTGATTGAATGTCGCAAATCCGGGTTCTCTTCCTGGCCCACATAGCTTGGAGCCATTCCGAGACCTCAAGGTTTTGTAAGTGTCGCGGGAGATGAGACTTGGCTTGTTCTGAAGGTTGGGATTTCTACGCACGGCAAAACGCTAACCAGCAAGAAAAGGATCAAGGTCCGAATTGCTGCAGTGCTGCCTCCACTTTCGCGCACGGCACTCTTGGCGGACCACGTGGCGTCCACGTCCTTCTGCATCCATCGTTACGGAGGGCACTTCGGCCCTCTCCGATGGTGCTACGTTTGGTGACAATGAGCCAAAGCGTACAGACATTACAGTCCAGTATGCTCTAATACACTACGCGTCAGGTTGCATAAGAATCGCATCTCGACGGGTCTGCCGTTGTCTGCTACGACATGGGTTGCATTGCGCAGCACAATGCTGTCGGTTCGTGACCTTTGATGTTGGTGAAAATAGCCTAGCTTTGGCATTCTGCTACTTAAGACTTCTGAAGTGTATGGTGGTCTACTGCACGCCTTCGTGGCTGTGTAGCCTATCAGTCCGCCTCACTGCTGCGAACCTAACTACCGTCAAGCCATGCCCTGGCCTTGTCCAAGGAGAACTGGAAAATTCCTCGTGACGTTGCCAGGAACCCATGCAGCATCACGACGTAGTCGCGAGAGATGTTGCCACCTCGGTTACCGCAACGATCTGCCTGCGCACGCAGCATGTGTGCACGGCATCCTACGCCCGCAAAGACTGCTTCCTGAACCCCAACAACCAAGCAATTGCTCGAAATCGCTGAACACTCCCATCCTAACTCTTCTTTGTGGCAGGCGTCATGCCAGCTGCCCCAGCAAATCGAAGTAGGCGTAGTACGTCTTTGCTGCCAAGATCAAGCCAGAGCTCGGTACATCTAACCTTCGGCACTGCACTGTGTGTGTGTGTGGGGAGTTTGTTGGCATTCGATTTCTAGTAGTAGCAGCAAGGTAGCAATGGAAAAAAGCAAAAACTGTGATGTGAGGTGTAATCTGGTACTTCCGAAATTCGTGTTCCGAAAACAGCTCTTGCCAATGCCTGTGCCTTCGACTTCTCTAGGCGTCAACCCGGAAATCCCCGGACTTATTGAGACAAAGCCTGATGCTTGAAACTCCCACGAACCTTTGATTTGAAGGCTCGCTATCATCAGCTGTCTACTGGTGTTGATCGCATTCGGCAAAGGAGCAGCCTTTGGGAATTTTTGGGGGGTGGCCTGCAAATTGTCGGGGAACCTCAAAGCCGAAACCTCAGCAGGATCCTCCGAAGCCGACGACACTCTCAGCTCACCTTTTCTTAATGTGCCCTAGCTTCATTCTCACAGAGTACTAGACACGCAGATACGAATACTACGATTCTGAACCTCAAATTTGCCCAGACCGTAAATCCCTCCTAAACTTTGATACCCTCTCTCTCTCTCTCTCTCTCTCTCTCTCTCTCTCTCTTTGCGGTGCCATCAAGCTCTATATAGAACCCCAACGTCCTGAGGAGCCGACCTATGAAGGAAGCCATTCTTGCACCGGCGGTCGGTAAGAATTGGGAACTGCGTGCCTGAAAGGTCGGGGCCTTGAAGAACGCTCGGGAGTTGGAAGGGTTTGCGGCTTGCGATCTCAGACTCGAACCGACGGATGAGGCGTTAGTTCGCAGAATTCGGCATGAACGATATCGGACCACTGCTGATGATGCCATGCGATGCTACGGATGCAAGTGTCCCGGCTCCCCTCCTGTGTCCAGAGATGGCACAAGCTGAATTTCCAGATTCGAACCCCGACCGCAAACCCAAACTCCGGAGATGCATCAGCTGATTGATTGTGGGTCTGGGGGTTTTCCATGATCAAGGAGCTTAAGCAGGGGTAGAGGATTTAGGCTACCGTTGTTGGAGTTTAGGATTGTCGGAGGCTTCGGAGCTGAGAGCTCTGGCATTGTTGGTGAGGAGGCTAGGTCCTTAGGAGGTTGGGGCTGTTGGGGTTGAGTGTGCTCGCAGTAGGTTAGCGATGCTTTTGGCCGCCCTTCTTTCTGTGTTACCTAACAACAAAAATGAATGTGGGCAACAACTTCCTTCAGAGCCTCCGGGATGAATTTCAGTTTGGGCCGGTGAACATCTACGGGGAGTCCCGATGCACTACCCATTAACCTTGGGGGGCGAGTCAGATGCTCTACCTACTACCACCAAAACCAAGGCCGTGTACCGGAGAAAGTGGAGATCATGAAGCCGGAAAGCATCTCCTTCCGGACATTGTCATGGTCATGGGCATGCTCTATCATTCTTGGTGCTGTTGGTCTAATTAATCCTTTGCTATAAACATGGCCATCGCCCCGGTCATTCCCAGCTGTGGCTACGAAGTGTTGTCTGGAGATTCGCAGGCATGAAACCTAACTGCCTCATGGCTAGCCATTCGCATCATTCTTTGCTAGGATGCACTTGCCTGTTGTGGTGGTGAAAACAACGATGACGGCTGTTCACCTATTCAAAGATTAAGACCCCCGTGTTTCACGACGATGTGGCTTGTCGTGGTTGCGATGGCTAAACCCAACGAAATCATGCGATGGAGCGGGACACGCAAGGAAAAGATGATGACGACAATGAGCAGAATGAAAAAACAACGATAATCATGATGATAGGCTGATTGTGGTTGTGGCGGTGGCTGTGATGAAGAAGACAAGGAGGAGGGAGGGGCTGATGATGATGATGGTGGTGATGGTGGCGCTGGTGATTGTGATGATCATAATGACGACGACGAGGAAGAATATGATGCTGATGGTGATGGTGATGGTGATGATGATGGGTAGTGGCGGTCGTAGTAAGGGTGGTGGGTGGTGAGGGTGGTAAAGAGGAGGGTGCGGTGGAACTGATGATGATGGTTATGATGATGCTGATGCGGTCGAAGGTGGTGACGTGGTAGGTGTGGTCTTGGTGGTTGTTGTGGTGGTGAGCGCTACTACTGTATGCACACTGTGGAATTGCAGAATTCAGACTCTACGACCAGACCAGCAAATCCATCGAGTGTCGATCACCCTAAACCCTGCGACGCTGCAAAACAATAAGTGCAAGACGTACACTTGATCGTTCCAATATCACTGCTGTTGTGGAGTGTCGCTCTTGTGTTTCTCCTTCTTGCTATCTTTTCTGTTGTTACTACTAATCCGCACCACAGCCTACGCTATCTAGCGGCCACACGGCTCCCGCGCGGAGTGTGCTTCCTCGATGAAGTCTTGTTCGTCGCCCTCCTTGCGTGGCCGCTGCATGGCAAGCTGGGGCAGGATCCCTAAGTCTCCGATTCTCAAGGTTTAGGCTTTCAGCCCCGGTGGTCGCGCAAAGAGAGCCTGGAGAGGGCTAGAAGGAAGCCTGCTGAAATGAAGCGTCTTGGACCCCCATCCCTAGAAAATGCCCGGACAAGCTCAAGAGTTGCCGCGGAGGAGCCGTGTCCACTTGCCAGCCAGGAGGCTTTAACACCACACAACGATCCTGGCAAATGGCATGTCCGTCATGACATGATGACTACAGCACGAACTGCGAAGACATGACCTAATGTGTACAAAGTCTTTGAGGAGTGGACAGATGCTTGTGAACTTCGTATGCAGGAGGGGGAGGGTGCAAGTCTCTAGGACCGCCTCATCAACTTGCTTCTCTCAATCACCAAACTATCTTTCTCTGCTGTTTCATCCGTACGACACCTTGTCAAAACTCCCCAAATCGGCTTCCATTGCGCATGCTTCGCGAACAACGTCTCATGCTGTGACGATGGACTCAGTCAATGTGAAATGAACAAGCCTCCGAATCTTCAACTTCAAGCCGTGCAGACCACCAATCTTGTTTAGACCGGATGGCAAGGTTTCGACTCACACACTCGCACAAGGCTGGTATGGCTTCTGGCAATAAGTCCGTGATGGCAAGTTCTCAGCACTCACTCTCGGACGAACAAAAGCGAGGATTAGGGGTTCGGGATGTGCGCTAAGTCTTAGGGCACCCAAACTCCTTACCCTCCGAGTCGAGGAATCACGGCCTCGTCGTCGAAAACGAAGTCTGGCGTGCTAGGCAGTGTGCCCAACGACCTCCCAGGAAGGCGGGCGGGTTAGCCGTTTCGGAGTGCACAGGCCTTAAAGGACGTAGACATACTTCCAAAAGCTATGAGATTCATGGGCAAATAGCAGGCCGGTAGAACTAAACTGAAGCAGCTTCTGACTTGGGACGCTCAATGCAGGGCTTCAAGTCGGCGTGACACTGGCTGATCTGCTGACATGAACCAATGAAGTGTGTAACAGTTCGCCTACGAGTATGCGGTGTGTTGTCCAATCTGACAACCATCTCCAACCTGCCCATAGTGTCACGCATGGAGCAACAGTTACAAGATATCCTAGCACTGCCTGGGCGGGGACGACAAGGAGCCGATGATGGTCAGGTCCAGGTGTTGCCCCATCTGGCGGAGGCCCTGGCGACAAACTTTAGGTTCGAGTCCAAGACACTGTGACGCCGTGAAGCCCTACAGCAACCAAGCTAGCATCTTCCCTCCAGGCCTAGAAATTGAGTCCTGGGATCTGGGATTCGTTAATTTGAGCGTCCCCTCTCCGCCTCGCATGATCCCGGAAGCGGTCTTCTGCTGCGCACACACAGAGGACGTATGTTGCATGCTGAAAAACACGAGATGCTGGGATTTGGGTTTCATACACAAGCTTCCATGGGAAACATGAACATCAAAACAAAAGGCCAGCAGTGTCTACAGAAGGTTGAGGTCAAACCAAGACCAACAACAACCCAAGCAGAACAAGGAAACAATGCGGGATCTTAACGAATCATCATAGAATCATAGGTTTAGACGAAGAAGTGGGAAGCATGCTAAACAATCTCCACTTGCTCACGAGGTCTGTGGACTTTTTCTAGGACTACTCACTGCTCAGAACCTTGATGCGCACGAATCGGCGCCTTGCAAGCCCAAGTTCCCCAAGCCTCCCTCTCTCTCTCTCTCTCTCTCTCTCTCTCTCTCCCCCTCTCCCAGGCATTCGACACGTCAAGCCCGGCTGTAGGACACAGATGGTCCCAACCCCTTAACCCCTGAATTCTCGCGCAAGGAAAAGCACAGGAGATTGCAATCAGAATCGTGAGCGCCTGACCTCAGTCTGGGCCCAGTGCATCACAGGATGTGTGAAGCCCCTGGCACCTCAGCTGGGGTTCAGAACTTGCGAGACATGGAGATTTGGGCTTCAGCTTCGGAGTTTCAGCACTTCTTAGATGCTAAAACGCACCGCCGATGGTGTCTCTCTGGAGGGTACCTCCTCGCTTTTTGGAAGCTACAGTACCAAGTGGGGATCTGCTTCGGCTCTTCCTTGAAGAGACGGGGCTGCCAAGCACGTCTTCATAGAATTCCCTCCCCCAATAAACCTTGGCGATGATCTCGATCACTCAAATGGAACAAGTCGAGCCCTGCTGGTTGCAGGCAAGGCACGAAAACTTTGCAGCACAGCAGTCAGATCGACAGCAAACGCGATCTGCGCGTCCGGGCTTCTTCGATCGCGGAGCCTGCAGCTTTAACGGATCGTTGGGTGGTCTCCGATTCAAGATGTCGCGAAACGAGATCGAGTTTCAAGTAAACTGGCTCTTATTCGAACTAGGTCGTGGGCCAGAGGTTAACTCTTTGGGCAAAGGGCCCTCCGTACATCCTTTCTTGCATGCTCTCTGCTTGCCTCATACGGAGTCAAGACGTATCTGGCCAACAAGAAACCTCTGAAGTAGGAGGTGTGCTCGTGTGATCTTGTAACTGCGTCCCAAAAAGAGTGGCGGGCGTGCAAACTTCGCACCCTGTGACAAGATCAGAAAAAGGGGGCGTATGTGGTTGAACCTGATTTGTTGAGATTTGTTGCCTGCCAAGGGCATATTGCTGACTCGGGGCCTTCCACCATCCGACAGCAGCTTATCGCCCACTGCCTGCAGAAATGGCACCCGAAGCCAAGGGCCTACGTCGCCTACCGTTCCATCAGTGGTGTCGATCCGTCGTTATATAGGGGCCGTCATAATTAGAATAGGTAGGCTTTGGTGGAAGGAAACCCCTTTCAGGCCCCTTAGTAAGGAAACCCCAAAGCTTGAATGATAGGCCACAGTCCTGGAAAAGCTCCGTCGCATCCACGCCGGCAGTTGCAAAAGCCCAAACCTCGGCCGAGGATGTTGCAGCCACGTCCACACAGAAAGAAGACGTTGATGCTTCGATAGTGTTCAGCTATCTACTCGCTGCACGGAAGAGTTCTGATTGCCACTTCGAGCGCAACTTCGCAGAAACATAGAAACGTTTAAGATCCTAAAACCATACAGTATCGTAAAGCTGCCAAGGCCACGAGGTTCGCAATGCCCTGCATGGAGAAATCGCCCAATTTGGCGCGGGCTTCCCGCGCGACGATCTGAAACAGCTCGCCTTCACGTGCTGACAAAACCTCCTATTACGGTAGATGGGACTACTGACATCGCACGTTGCACGATTGATTCGGCAATCGTATGTTTTCGCATGGTTGGTTCAAGTGCCAGTTTCAGATCGGCAGCAGCAGCAGCAGCAGATCCTAGTGCTGTCCAAGACGTGGTGCTATCGCAATTATATGTCTTAGCCCTCTACTAAAAGGGTTACCATCATATTATATATTCCTACCGCTGCCAATTGTCTGTCTTCTTTAATTAATGTTCGGAGTTTTGGGTAGGGGTGGGGTTGGTGACTCCTTGACCGTAATAAACACACCACTGTGGCACAGCCTTCGGAGCCATGCCCGACAGTCGCGAAGGCCCATGTTAGGTTCGCAAGCCTGTGCGGGGATGAACTCAAAACTGCTTGAGGTTTTGGGGTTCAGGACGAGCGGGTTCAAGTTAAGGTTTCCGATGGGGCTGGATCAGACAGTGGCAAGAAATAGCATGTAGAGAGAATTCTGGCAGTGAAGATGGTGAAGTGAAACCAAAGCCCCTTGCAAGCAAAAGCCGCGCAAGCCAGTTCTGAAACAGTCAAGACCTCGACTCCAACCTCTCCAGAATAGCAGCCAGCTGTTCTAGTTTGGGGTGAAATGCTTGGGTTCGAAACGGTGACGCTTCTGAACGAGAGGTCCGTCGCAGCCACAAGCCGTGTACAACTTCCCTCGGAACGTGTACTGGACGTCCAGAGTTGGGGCCCTGACTGCTGTGGCGTGGCATCGACGAGAAGGCACCCACCACCTGACCGAGTGCTACATGCAAGATGATACAGCTGGAAGTGTTCCCCCATAGTCTCTATACTATCATACAAAACGCAACCGCAACCATATTAGCATGCTTAAGGCTTAAGGCACTTCTTCTGCCCAAAGCGTCAGGCAAGGCAACCGAACCCTTTCGCTTGAAGGTGCTAGGTCTATCTCATGCTTCAGTTCGCCATTGCTCTGCAACATAGCGGCTATCACTTTGGGATGTGTTACAAGACTGATTGCTCACGATCGAGAAGGTGGCATAACCTGGAACAGTATTTGTGCGACGCAGGCGAACTGGACTTGGGGTTCCATGTGCTGCAACTGCTGCGGCCGGAACAACATAATGTCCCCGGCGGTGTTGAATCAAGATTTCGCAAAAGCACTGAAACTCGAGCCTCATAAACCTCGAAACAGCACACCGAGATGTCGCCGAGCGGCCGCTGAGGCACCGCTCTTCGAGAGCCCAAAAGAGTCGTCCGTCCACCTCTACTGATCACTAGGCATAGTTTGTGTGCAAAAGGGCCAGGTGCTCAACATACGGTGACAATGAATCGTTTTGTTTTCTCATTCTTTAAGCCTTTATGTGGGGTGAAAGCTAAGACGGTGGAATAGTGTGGGCGTTGGAATGTTTGCAAAAGCGGTTGTCATGAACAGTCACATTGCATTACAGGTCGGACCAACAATCGTAGGATAAAGTGAATTGAAAGGTTGGGTGGCCTGGTGGTCTGCCGAATTCAGCTGGGGTGGCTGCTTCCATGCAATGATATAAGTCCAGAATCCCATCAACTCTAACTCTAGCCATCCCCACGGTAAAGCCCAAACATCCTGAGTTTTTTCTAAGCCTCAACAGGCCGTTGGAAGGGGTGAAGCTGCAAGAGTGTGTGGTGCCGATGAAAGGATCAAGAACATCGCCCAACCTACGCTTCGCTTTGCCTAGCCTAACATGCTGTAGAGGGCAAACCTTCAAGCCAAATTCTGCGGACCTCACGGAGAGTCGCAAACGCCCACGCGCTGTTCACCTCGCTGAAACGACATGGTTCTGGAGCCAATGCCTGCATGTGTCGACACCTCCCTGCGCAGCCCAGCTGCGACATCCAGGCACTTGAATTCCGAGATGTTCACCAAGACCTGCCACAGGCGCAGGCTGTCACCGAGGAGTGCTCGCTGCTTTCCTTGGGGCTTTGACGCCTTTGGCTTGCCACGGCTTGGGCCTTGAGGCTTTCTTGGCTGCCACATGCATGCAGGACTTCCTTCACCATCATCATCGCCACCTGTATCACAGCAAAATCACAAACGTTGATGTCGCCATTGTTATCGTTTTCTGGAGGCTACAACGGACATCATGATCGGCACAGGTCGATTTCACAAGCTTCGGTCCCACGCCTTCTCGCCAAAACCAGCGAGAACCTGGAGGAAGCACGAGCGGAATGATGGAAAACGGTATAGTTCAGTATGTGGCACTGTAACCCCACATGACATCCATGTATTTGCTAATGGTCATACCCACGGAAAGACGAATGGTATTAAATCGAGCGGTGATAACACAGCTTCTTAATGGTCAGTGACAATCAAACCCAGGGAGACATGCTAAATCTTAATCGTTGAAGTTCGAGCGCTTCCAAAAAGTCTCACCACGCAGGTCTTCAACAATGAAACTTCTCGCTCTTGGGCTCAAGACTAGCCAGTCTCCAGACAAAGACAAAGACAACAGTGAGCTCACTGCCGCATGACCCAACCAGGATCCTAGATTCACGCGGCAGAGTGGTTTGCATCTGAAGCCTTCCCTTGAAAATCATCCCATCGACCCGTCTCCTTACCCCATAGCACAGCTTCTGGCTCGGAATTGCCAGCGATTGTGGGTTTCTGATGGCTGGGTCTAGGCTTGGTCTTCCGGGCTTGGAAAGCATCATCCGCAGGAAAGGTTCTAAATATTCTATAGCGACCACAAACACTCAGTAGAACCGTGGGTTCAAGCCCAACAACAAAACTGTGTGGGTACGTATCTACTTGTATGCGCGCATATCTGTATGTATGCTGCGTGCTAGTTGGTATTCCGGCCCACATGTACACATAGCTATGCGCACCAGCCAAGTCAAACAAGTATCCGAGCTGCATGTTAAGGTACCAGCGACATACACGTACCTGTGATCACATATGCAGGTTCCTCCAGGCTACCATCAAGCGAACAACTCCCTGACATCACTGCAATCTACCCCTCGTCTCACAGCATGTCCACTTTTAAATTATTCTTTCTGCTTTTTCTTGACAAGTGGTGCCTCCGCATCTCGTACCAGCATGGATGCCAAGGACCACAGGGTGTTCGCTAACCTGGGGTCAATGCGGACAGGATATTATCTTAGACACTTTGGCCCTTTAGAGCCGAACTAGCGGTTCAGGGGTTCAAGAATGAAATCCTCGAAGTCCGCCTGATTCTGCCTCTGCTGCTTGCACTTCGTAGCAGATCTCGACCTGTTCAATGATTTCTCGATGTGGTCCGAGACTTGCGGGCTCTTGGGGTTAAAGTTGCTGAGGTCTTGAAAGTGTTGGCAAGGGCAGGTGCTCCGATGTCCCGACTCTTTGCCCCAATCCAATGCATTCGATGCAATCCAAACAGAATCCACTCGTTGCAAACATGATACAACTTCGAAATTTCGGGCATCCCACTCTCCGATGGACGCAATTTACAGACAGGCTTGGCATGCAGCATCAGTTCAGAACCTGCTATCGTCGGACCACCTGAAACAGCTAGAATGATTGCTAGTGTGAGCCAGCCGCAAACTCAAGAAGCCCTAGACCACTGTAACTTAACGGCAGACAAGCAGCTCTTGTGCTCCAGCATTATCGGCTTCCGCGGCCTCTGCTGCGAGGGTCGACAACCTCGAACAGGGCTCAATATCCACACCGACGGGAGCTGTTCTCCATCTGAACCACGATGACTAAGCACTGTCAGAATTCAGGAAGCTCGGACAAGGCGGCACTACTGGCTAACTTGCACCTGAGTTCTAGGAAGCAGGTCCCAAACCATCTGGAGTGCCGATTTGACCTAGTTTTGCGTTTTTAACCTCCTGATACAGCCAAAGAGAAAAAACTGCACGGGGGAGGATCCTGCTAGCGGCCTCCTATGCACCTCTTGCTGGTAGAACCCTGCGCAATACCAAACAGAGCATCTTTCCTTCTGAAAGTCGGCAGATCCCTCCCCTCCCCTTCATGCCTAGGTAAGTTGCCACAGACACCTTCCCTAAGCCGGCTTGCTTTAGCTACGGCGTCGGGTAGTTGGGCCTGCACCACGCCTGACAGTTGCGTCATGCATATCAGCGAGTGGCCGGAATAGCCCTCACCCCCATAACCCTAACGCGTCCTCCAGCGTATAAGATCCTATGACCGTCAATATACCTACCCCTAAACCCTAATCCCTTTCTGGAGCAGGGACTGCAATGCGCTAAGCCCTGAATCCCTCCAGCCAAGCTTCGCCCCTGAAGGCTAACACCCTAATCCCTAAACCCCTAAACCCTAACATCCTTTAACACCCAAAATCCCTAAACCCCTAACCCCTAACACCCCGAACCCGAGAATCCTGGCGCCAAGCCGCGAGTTGCGGAGCCGGCTCGACACCGAGGCCGTGGCGACAGCCCAGGTCAGGGATGCAAGCTCTTCGGCCTCTTCAGGGTTCAAAGTTGAGAGGTTAAAGTATACAGTTTGCAGCTGAAAGGGTTTAGGGTAATTTATAAGTATGGCTTATTCTAAGGCGTTGGCGGGTTTGGGGCTTGTGTTTTTTAGAGGTTTTTGATTTTGGATTATTTGGCATCGTTGGGGTTTAGAAGGATAAGGGGGGTGGTATGGGGTGGTCTTATGGTTTATGGGGTTCCTGTAGGGTGAAAGGATTTACGGACTCAGGCCTTGGCTATAGGGGTCTCTACAGTAGGGTGCCTACAGGATTTGAAGTCCCGCAACTCGGAGTCTGCAGCTGCGGACTTAGAGTTGTAGGGCTTACGGTAATCTTCCCTCATGACAAGGGAGGGACACGTTTATGAAATCGTCTCTAGGCACACTTATGTCGACATGACATAACATGACCCTGATTATCTCAAAAAGCCCGAACCCAAATCCCCAAACCTTAAACTTGAAGCCAAAACCTCGTGCTCCAATAAGCAAGACTCGGAAGTTTGCTGCCTTGAGAGCCTCTGGCCGTGCTGCCGCCTCGTCAGCAATCTCAGCCACGAGTCCCGGCCTCTTGCCCAGACAGCAAACAGCTGAGGCTAAGGGTTCTCCCAGGTTTCTGTAATGTAAGGTATCTACTAGGAATCTGCAAAGGTAGCATGAACTCTCGCAACTCGGACGATGCGGGCGAGGATGGTTCGGTGCGAAGGGTTTCGGGCTCTAGTTCTGGGGTTGAGTGTAGGGTAGAGGGGCGACATGCTTAGGGGTGAGAAGGCTTTGCCTAGCGGCAGTTATGATTCAGTGTTCAGGGTTTGCTGTCGAGAAAATCAACCAAGCTTAAGTATGATTCTGACGGGCCTTTCTTCGTCAGCCTAGGGCTCCGGAGACTCTGCTTAGGAGCAGAAATTTCGTGGTTTTGCGCTAGCGGCGTTCTTACTTTCTGCCACTGCCGCTTGAGGACCGATTTGTACTGGAGGCGATGGAGTTTAGGGATGCCGGCGGGGGGTCACATGGCATTAGCACACTTCAAGAAACTTACAGCATGCGAATTTGCATGTTTGTTGGGGTTATTTAGTGATTAGTTAGGATTCCAAAAGAAAAAAATGCCTGGGAGATCTTCGGTGTCGCTACTCCTTTGCAAGGGGCTCCCTAATGCTTGAACCAGGTTGCTCGACCGTGAAGCTGGCACAGGCGTAGGCCACATTCACCTCAAGCTTCTTTGGGATTCCGTGGGATTCCGTTGAAATTCGCCTTGGGCCTGCCTCTCCAACTAAGTCTGAGCATGTCTGAGCACAACCCTTGCCCATAAGTTTCTTCCTGAATCGTCGAAGCCGGGTCGCCATGTGCTGCAGACTCAGATCTCCTGGCATAAACACGGCTCTCGGCTCGTGCAGGCTGGCGGCTAGTTCCAGAAAATCGCAACGGTTGGAAGCCGCCAAGAAATGTGTCTTTTGAACTCTCCCTGCCAATTCGGGGCCCGGCGGGTCCTCGCTGGAGACGCCGTCGCGCTTCATGGGTTCCGGCTTTTAAAAGCCCGGGGTGAGAGGTTTCCAGCTTGGCATAAGACCAAAGCAACCTCAGCGAGAAGGCTTAGGGTTCGCTATGTCGAGCGCCGACAGCAATTTCTATGCTTCACCTGTTCAGGCTTTCTCACAGCTAGTCAGCTAGTCAGGCCCATCATCATATGTCAATCGAGTCTCAGGACCGCGTGTTAAGATGTTGGATCCTCGCCGTTGTGAACACGTAGAACCATATGAGTTTGATCACGGGAAAGCAAGTCTGAACAGGAAAAGAAGCCGTTCCTGCAACTCAGTCACCGCACCTCCAAGTATGCCGAGCTGCATCGCGAGCTCGTTGTCCCGAAAGGACTTCATGGCAGGGATGGCTTTCCCAGCAACCTCAAGACATGCTGTGTAACCGTATAGATGCACTCATGCCCGCCGGTGGCGATATGTCAGTGCTCTGCTGTGAATGGAGACCGACTCTAAACCAATCCACGGGCATCGTATACGCTCCCGCTCATCCCAGCCTAACCTCAAGGAGTTACAGTTGGGAAGACTAAGACAGCCCTTACGCAAGCGAGACCCTAGGGCCGCCTTTCCTCGCAAACTCTACCGCCCGAAACCGTGACCCCTTTTGGCCCCAAACCCGACACCCTACAGCTCAGGGACACAGCCCTATAGCAAGCGCTGAGATCAGCCGGAGTCACAGAATGGAGTGCAGGACCTCAGAATTTGCCGCAATCATGCTGCCCAGGTTCTTTGGGTTGAGGGGCTGAGGTGTGGGAGCCCCGATAGGAGTCTGGGCAAAGCTCCGGAAATCCCTCAGCAAGTCCTGCTGCTGCGGCACAAGCGAGGGTGATAGTATCGATGGAGGTTTGATGCTGGCGGTGATGGTGTTCATCGCTGGTGACAGAAATGACAGTTGATAAGTGCTTGGTATAGGTAGGCTGGTTTACCACAGGGGACTGCATTCTAAATATGCTGGTTGGGGTGCGACGTCCTCGTGGTAGGTTGCGCCATTGTTGCCGTCGTAGCCGTTGTCGTGGTGATGGTCGTGGTCGTTGCAGTAGTCGCCGTCGTTGCAGTGTTCGCCGTAGTAGCAGCAGCAGCAGCAGTAGCAGTAGCAGTAGCAGGAGCAGTGGCAGCGGCAGTAGACGTAGGACGAGGATGGGCGGAGGAGTAGTAGCAGTAGTAGTCGTCGTAGTAGTCGTGGTAGTGGTAGTGGCAGTGGCAGTGGCAATGGCAGTGGCAATGGCAGTGGCAGTGGCCGTGGCAGTGGTAGTTGTTGTTGTAGGAGTAATAGCAGCAGTAGCAGCAGCAGTAGTAGTAGTAGTTAGTAGCAGCAGCAGCAGCAGCCAAAGTAGTAGTAGTAGTAGTAGTAGTAGTAGTAGTAGTAGTAGTAGTAGTAGTAGCAGTAGTAGTAGTAGTAGTAGTAGTAGTAGCAGTAGTAGTAGGAGGAGGAGGAGTCATTTACTAGTAGGGGTCGAGGAGTCGGACAGTAGCTGTGGAAGGGGCAGCGGTAGCCGTGGCAGTCGTCGTCATCGCAGTAGGGTGTGCATGTAGCCGGGGGGCCCTCGTCGTTGTCGTGGTGGTGTTGGTGGTGGTGGTGATGGTGGCGGTGGTGGCGGTGGTGGTGGTTTCGGTGGTGCCGGTAGTGGTGGTGGTGATAATGACAAATGGCAACGGTGGCAGCAGTACTGTAGTGGTGGTCGTGCCAATGGTGGGTAGTAGTAGTAGTAGTAGTAGTAGTAGTAGTAGTAGTTAGTAGTAGTAGCAGCAGCAGTAGTAGTAGTAGTAGTAGTAGTAGTAGCGGCGGAGGAGGGCACGGAAGAATTAAGCTCGAAACCATAGCAAAACCTGGCTGTTCTTGTCCGTGCCACCCACATTCGCTGCCCGCACGGTTGCAAAGGCCCATGCGATGCCTGGGCTCAGGCACAAACATGGTGCGGTCAAGGCTTCGTTGACGCTTCGCGCAACCGTCTTACCCCTGCATACTGCGCACATTCAATATGTAAAGATCCTTACGCATACCAGAACGCCAGGGAGCTGGACAGCTCGTTGGCTTTGAAAAATTCTACCGTCCGCTCAGTCTGGATGTTGATCCTTGGGTCACGACAGGCCCGAACATCCGCACGAGGAGCGCCTTGAACATTTTGCGACCCTTCAGGACTTTCAGCTGAACTGTAACTAGACAACACCTTCTACAAAGCATCTCTGTGATGCTTGGGGAGTTCGTGCATAAGCCGACGAAACATCACAAATTGGTTCGAGCAGCGCACGATTCAGGTCTTCATCGTAGTGCTGCAGCTTCCTGAGCTTCAGGCTTCGTGGTTTCGGATCATCTTCGGAGACAGAATCTTGGCTCTTATCTGCCTTCCAACCACACTGTCGCGAAATCTCGCTGAGCAAACATGCTGCCAGTACTTGTAATGCATGCGCAGATCCTGTTGCTGCATGGCGTGAACAGAGATTTGCATCGCCAGCACTGGTCTGCTCCTAGAAGTCCTCGACCCTCCTCGATTTTGATAAACAGCAGTGAAACTTAACTTAGTCCGGCCGCCGCACGACACCAAACGTCGAAATACTCACTGCCCTGACACCTCGGTTACCAAAAGCCTCGTCGCCAAGTGACGGCTCTTCCGGGGTTTTGGCTTGAGAAACGGTTCGGATTTATGGTAAGAGCCTGCGACCCTCAACCTGCAAAGCCAAGCGCTGCCGTGCGACGCAAAAGCCCAAGCCATCATCGCCTGCGGGAAGTTCGAAAAGCTGTTCTGCACCAACAGCAGCAAAAGTAAGTCGGTGGCGGTTGTAGCTTCTCATTCTTTCCAATTGACTTACGGCTGCTGCCCCATGGTGCAACGGACTGTCTTTGTAAGCTCCAATGACCTTGAGCGGGATCACACCGTCTTATCAGCATGCTTACACAACCGTCGAGGGCATGCAGCTCTGGACATTTGAATCGTGCGTTCTTGCAGGCTTGTCGCCTTGAGGGCGTTGCGGCTTTCGCTTTGCAGAGCATGCAGAGTGTTCGGGTTCCGGGCTTCAACACATGTAATGTGAGGCTTAGCACTGCAACTTCGCTTTATAGATGCCCAACATCAACACTAAATTCACTAAATATAGTTCTCCACCATGCCCATCTATACGCTTGTCTTGTGGTTGAGGTCCGATTCCGGGAAACGCTGCAGAGCTCGGAACCTATGTCATGTGAAGGTTGTGAAGGTGCCCAAACTCCACTACAGTGACATTCAAATGAAATAGGTTCTCTCCAAAACCAGATCCACTACTGAAAAGAAGTGTCTGACTACTCTTCTCCATTCTGCCATCTTCACCGTCTAAACTTTCCACGATAGCCGAACTTGGTAAGCCAAGCAGCTAACCCGCGCTGCGGGTGCAGCTCCTTCGGAGTCAGCTGCGGCACATCAGTCCCCTCTGTAATTCTACAAATGCCATACACGTATTCAAAGCATTTCTGTCGCGCCTGCGCCCGCTGAGTGGCTTGCTGCCCCAGGCACGCCAGCAAGGGCGCATCCTGCATTGGTCACATTTGACTGTTTGTGGGGGGCCAGATCTGCTGGAGCCTTTTGAACAAACTTGCGCGGTCGGGTTCCCACGTAAGAAATAGTGCCCGTGCGCTCCGCATGATCCCAAGGCTGAAGTGCCACTCAGGGAGGTTGGTCCTCCTCTGGCTTACATCCATCTCCAAGACTTGCTCTCCACTGTTCACCCAAACGCACATCCTTGCTCTGCCCGGGCAATGCTGCTTTGGAGGTGCCCTGACCCTGCCTGAAGCTGCACGGTGGCAAGTGACCTACAGTGCGAGGCTCGAGGTCGCTCCTATTCGCACCCTACTCCTCTTCTGCTCTGTGGTGCTCGATAGGCCACACTCGGGAATGCTGTCCAGCACCCATCTCACATGTCGTCTCTCAAATTGCCTTGAGGCTTGCTTGCAACAAGGAAGTCGTGCTATCAAGACATCGCCTACACTTCAGAGCATAAGCACATGAAACTTCGGAACAGAAAGCAGATTTAGCATGCACTTATCCTTCGGTCCAGAGTCGACATCTGATCATGGACAAATGCCGATTGTGGCCGCTGCAGCACCTGCAGTAATGATCCGACGGGATGCCAGGCCAACCGCGACATCTGCGCTGCCCGGAACAACGGCATAGCTCTCGGGCACCTTGTGAGTTTATCGTTATGATGAACTTTTAAGGATCCAAGCTTTGCGCCTTGAGCATGAAACAGTGCCTGCTGCTCTATTTCTCTCGAGCGGCCCCTGCAACAGGCGCTGCAGCAACGGCGATCCTCCGTCGCCAAGCTTCACCAACGCCCAGAGAGCATAGGAAAGCTCCTGCGAAACTGCCAGTTCACGCCGAGGTCTGAGGCTAAAGGCCAGGCAGAACCCACCTTCACAAAGAATCACCTCCTCCCAAGAGCCTTGCCTAGAATGGTTCCGGAAACAACAACCCATCAGCTCCCAAAGCCCAATGAAACTCTGAATGCTGGTGCCGGGATCACATTAAACCTAAATCTGCTCTCCTCTGGAGGCAGCCACTGTGGTCCGCCACCGAAGAAACAGCGATCAACCGACTGAGAGAGATGGGAAGGCTTGGATGAACGGATTGTTGTTATGAGAACGACAATAGCCATGAAACGACATAGTGGGAAGCAGCAGCTGCTGCGACAACAGCATCAACACTAACAGCATGAATGTTCTGTTCATAGCCAGCCGCAGCTTGCCAGTCCAGATGATACGGCTTTGAGCTCCAAACCCCGAAGCTACTGCGGGAGCCTCTTGAAACCGCTCGAGGAGCTTTGAGGGGGCCGCAGATCTGCAGGACAGAACAGTGCATTAAACCAATTGAGACATGCAGGCAAAGCAAAGACATCAGATTGAGAAGGGCTGTTCAATCATCGTTTCCCGATGTAAAGATACCTTTCACGATGATCCCGCTCGTCATATTTCCTGTCGGCACTGCTTTGTAAAGCAAAAATGAACCTGCATTCGGCTCGCCGCTACAAGTCTGAGCTCAGATCCCATGGCCACATAGCCTTGCAGAAGCGTGAGCATTGGCGGCGACGACAAGAGCAGATACCAGCGTCGACAGGTCGAGCTTGACCTCATTGAGTCCGGGCGATGGCTCAGTAGGCTCAAAAGGGTTTGCAACGAAGAAACCGATAACCTCCAAATCCTTTCAAGCCCTCCATATAGCGTAAACGATGCCCTCTTTTGCAAGAATTTGGAAATGCTTTGGCGCTTTGCTTGTCTTGCGGTTCGGCTGAGTGCCAAAGCCCAGCTACAAGCTAATACCCTGAACATGGGGTACACTTTAATATGATATATGCGGCTGTAAGAAAAGCAAAGGATACCACACGGGCAAACTATGCGAAAGCACCGGGCTGTAAGAGGGACAAAGTGGCCCGGGCTACCAGCTCGGCAAGCACTTCCACCAACTGACGCTGGGCCTCTCAGAGTACTCCGCGTGCGGTAGATTGTGGCCATCAGCCGAGACTACAGATGAACGATATCTTTTCAGTGTTCGTTTTACGCCTGTGAAGACTTGGTGATTGACAGCGGCCTTATTGAAAATCTCCACCAGGAGGAAAACCGAGTCATCAGAAGCCACGGTCTGCAGTTACGTTTGGTGCATCCTGTGGTTCTGGGCTTCGGCTCATGTGTCCAGTGCTCTGTAGCTCGTTCTCGCCGGGAGGTTGCGACAGGCTCAAGGCAGAAAAATATAAAATCAGGGTTTCGGTTTGGGGTTCAGCATATTCTGGTTCAACACCATCGGATGCAATGATATCTGGGGATACGCCACCGCCGCGAAATCGCCATGGCAATCTGGACTCTGCTTGGAAGTGTTCTTATATTCCGTCTGACGGCTTAGTATATTGGTTTGCACACGCACTCTCGGACATGCCAGGCGAGGATTTTGGTGCGCAGTCGGTGTTGGAGGTGAAACCAATGCTTGGATGCGCATGAAACACAACACTTCATTGCCGAAAAGCCATCCCACTCAAACTGAACGTGTGCAGGGGAGGTTGAGGGTTTGGGAAATATATTGCAAAAAGGTCTAGGGCCGAGGGCTTTAGTATTGTTGTGGCCCGCGCTGCCTGAGGGTTGCAGGCTGTGAAGGACGCAGACAACAAGGCTTGGAGGCTCGCGGAAGGTGTCGAGGATTCTAACAGGTGGCTGAAGACTGGGGCTGTTCCAAGAAGTACACAGCGACCCTTACTTCGAACAGCCCCAACGGCAGTTTGCTGACTCTGACAGTCCGGAGAGAGTCATCGTGACAGTCACCACAACGGCCCTTCTAAATGTAGCCTATACTATAGTCATAGTAAGGAACCCCTACAATATATAATATTGCAAAGTGTTTAGGCCCCCAATCATCATCAAGAAATATCAAGAAGACCAGCTTTTCATCAGCTCAACACACGGCCCCAACCTCGCGAACTCGGGGCAGCCCCTTTCGCAGGCGCTGGAGGGCGGCTGCAGCTTGCAGAGCTGTGGTGGACCTACGACTCGGGGACGTCGCATCATGTGGGAGAGATTGCACTGCATAATGGGAATCCTCCGATAGACTGGACCGACGGGGCAACTAGGGTTTCGGGTTGCGGCATGGCTCCGGCATAGTTCGGGATTTCGCGCTGGAGGATTCCCTCTTTTGGACTTGGGACCGAGGAAGCTGGCATACAGTGGCTCGCAACTGCGTTTTCGCACACAGCCTTAGATGGAAACTAATCTCCAGAATCTGGCTGCATCTGGTCCACCACCGTGTGTGTGTGTGTGTGTGTGTGTGTGTGTGTGTGTGTGTGTGTGTGTGTGTGTGTGTGTGTGTGTGTGTGTGTGTGTGTGTGTGTGTGTGTGTGTGTGTTTGTGTGCGTGTGTGTGTGTGGATGATCGGTAAGCCCATCTAACTGAGTAACTGCCCACAGGGCTGCATCTTATTCTACCCCACTATCTCCAGCTTTCTCCCGTGCATTCATCAACCCAAGAACCCCCCTGCCTGCCCGTGCGTCCTGACTGTGTGTCCGTCATCCGAACTCTAAGCCTCTCTCGTTCATTGATCCGTGTGCTAGCGATCCGCCTCGCATCTTGAAGTAAGAGCACCCGATCCACAGAATCACCTCCGCCCATTGAATCATTCAAATGTTGTTCCCCTTGTCATGGCCGACGAAAGCCGTTCAGCCCAAGCCCTTCAGAATCTTCCAGACTTGCTTGACTCCCGGCAGCCACGCGGCTCGGCAAGGGCGCGTAGAATCTCTGGGAAATCCTTGGCATTCTGAAAGTGATAGGTAACCTAGGAAGTCACATTAAATGCACGCTTCCTCCAGTTTCGCCTGCCACTCCTCGATAAAACACATGATGAACACCCGCAGTAACATGCCCAGCGCGTAAGTAGTAAGCCCGCAGAAACTCGGGCCGCCCGTAGATGGAATGCAAACTCTGTGGTCCGCCCGCCTCTTGCTGACAGATCTCTACAGTACTACAGGCCGCTTCTTCTTTGGACAGATACGAAGCAATCAAAGGAGTCCGAACCTTCGTAAGACGGATGAAACCTGCTGCGGAAGACGACCACGAGATTGATGATAATCGTATTTGGACCTGGACGGGGGTCCAACTTGAGTGCAGGCTGGCCTCGTCGGACCTGCAGGCGCACATCGCCAGCAAAGACCGGGAACTCACCGGTACTGCACAGGGCTTTTGGTCTGATGTTCGAAACATGCTAATCTGATAATTTGAAGGGTTTTTGCCTTTCGACTTGGTGCATTTCTCGATTTGTGCGTGTCATCCCTGCGCAAGAGGCCATGATAGTCTTCTGAGTATCGTTCCAGTCGAGGGTCTCGGGGTTTTAACAAATAATGTGCCGGATTCCAACTCACGCAACTCGGGCTCCGCAGGCCAGGAGGTTTCAGCTCTAATATAGGGGCCAAAATAATTACCAATACTATTTGGAGGGGTTCTTTATTATGCTACCATGATGGGCCCCAAAACCCTATTCTAACTAATAAGGTCGCTTTATCAAACGTGGTAAGGGGGCTGCCTTCTGGATTCGCTGGATATTGGGGGATCCGACTCCCAAGTCTACTAACCCTCAGCCCCTACGCAGCCTAAACCTCAAGCCTCAAGGCCCAGACTTTTGGATCAAAATCCCTGAGGCCACAGTCAGGTCTCAAGCGAATTATTGGGAAACTTTGCGGGAATGCTGGGTGCTGTGTCGGGGGTCTTTCAGAAAACGGAGCTACTCTTAGGGTATCATGTTTAGGGGTCCCGGATCATAAGTTGCTCCTATTGCCACGCAAGCTATGCCGTGCTCTCAAAATTTTCTGCCCCTTGCTAGAATCCGCTAGAACATGTCATATAGTCATATAGACCGCCAAAACACGACATGCCGGAATATCCACGTGGTTGAACCAACATTGGGGCATGCAAGACTTCAGGACAAGTGCGAGCATGCACAAAGGCAGGAATGGCAACGGAAAGGGCTTCAGGATTCGGGTCAAACGCAGGATGTAGTTGCCGAAACCTGACATCCAAACAGCGCCACTTCCAGTTTATGAAGACGGAGCCTCCTCCCCTTGCTGCCCATACCGCGAAAGCTGAGGCAGCAAACGCTGCCTCACATGATCGCGATGGCGGTATGAAACTTGATACAAACACAAGGCCTGGGAGTTCAGAGACGATCCAGAGCAGGCGTCGCGTGGAGTCTTGGATGTGTGGTATGTTACGGCTATGCAACTTCACAAGCTGGCCACGAATAGAGCCGCCGAAAACAGCAGGATCGTTCCAGATTTGCGCCGACTTCAATGATACAAAGAGCTGCATGATTAAAGTCGTTCGATCCCAATCTACCGGCACCCTCCTCGAAACCCTAAGGCTCCACCTTCCCGGTGTCGTTATAATCTAGTTGCGGAAGTCTTTCAGCTTCGACACCCTGTGGAGCTGAAGCCCCCCAAAAAATCTCCGAACCCAAAGACATGAAACATCACGAAAGCCGTGTCAAGTTCAAGAGAAGGTCGTGCCTTTTGCCGTGCACATCGGGAAGGGCCGGACGCCCCCGAGATCCCACCTTCAGCATAGCTTCAGGGCTCCGGGAGTTGAAAGGCCTGCAGGTTCATATATGTGTACGTATGTATATATTTATGTATACATACATACATACATATACATATTGCTGCCATTACCATTGCTATCATCATGCTATTCTCATCCTTACGATGATAATCATTACAGCCGAAGTAGAACATGAACCTTGCGTGGTACACCAAAGACTCGTCAACAGCGAGGGTATCATTGAATTTTACCGAAATGACAAAAGCTGGAAATGACCGCAAATTTTTGGCGGGGAGGACACCGCAATCAGACCTGACCAAAATCGTATTGCAGTCCATATAAGGCCTGTGAAATCCTATGAAACCCTTGTCAACCCTGCATAACACACCATAAAGAGCCGTTACCTTATTATGAACCACAGAAGATGCTTGGCCACCTTGCCTCGGCTTTGCTGAGGCGGTGCAGGCGCACCGGCGAAGGCCATGGGAGCTTTTTGCAGGGTCGGCTTTGGGCTTCGAGTTTTGGATGGTTTGGGAGTGCCTGTATGGGTTGCTGTAGTGATCTTGAAGGATCGGCTTGGTGGTTGCGGGCT